GGTTCGCCGGATCGGATCCCAGTTGCGGACATGGCACCGCTTGGCAAAAAGCCATGCTTTGGTAGGCGTCCCACATATACAGTGGAGGAACATGGGCATGGATGTTAGCTCAGGGCCAGTCTTCCTCAGCAAAAAGAGGAGGATTGGCAGTAGTTAGCTCAGAGCTAATCTTCCTCAAAAAAAAAAAAATCTACTATAAAGCAACAACAAGTAAATCAATGTGGCAATGATGGCAATGTGGTAAGAATAAGCAGGTCAATATAACAGAAGAGACAGTCCAAAACCAGATCTCAGTATTTATGTTCTATGAGGTAAAACAAATCAGTGGAGAAGGGTAGAAGTTTTCAACAGACAGTCTTGTTATGATTGGTTAACTATTTCTGTGTGTGGGGGGGGGGGGGGTCTACTTAGATTCTTACCCTACAGCACATAACAAAATACATACCAGTAGATTAGGATTAAATAATTAAAATTTAAAATATCAAACCATCAAAAAACAAAAGAAAGATTTTTATCCTTCAGGTCTTTAAAGGCAATGGAAGAAATCACTAAAGAATAGATACAAGCACATACATTTAAATTTTTTTTTTTTGAATAAACTACCTGCAGTGAAAATACCAAACAAGGGGTTAATATCTTATTATACAAAGCTCTTACAGAAATCAACTACAGAAGGGTATGAGTTGATCATCCACAACAGAAGAAATTGAAATGGCTAATGAATATGTGAAAAAAGCATTTCATCAGTAATTGAAGAAACGCTGATTAGAATAGCAATGCCATGCTGATTTTTCACCTTTCAAATTAAGAAAGGTTAAAAACTTGCTTGACGTTGGAGTGGAAGCAGGAACAAGACAGCCCTTCTTAGACATTGCTGATGAGGTATCAATTTGTATGATCTCTTGGGTAAGTAATTTCAATCAAAGAGCTTTACAAATGCTCCTACTCTCTTACCCTATAATGCTATTTTTAGAATTTGATCTCAAGGAAATTCTAAGAAATATGTGCTATATTTTATGCATTAAAAGATTCATCTCCATTTTACGTATTATATTTAAAAAATTGGAAAGTACTAAATGCTTAATGTTAGAAGATAATGGTTCAGTAAATTACAGTACATGACATGAATATAATGTCATTTTTAGAAATTAAAGTGTGAGTATGTATTGAGTAACTATCTAGGTATTTTCTATTCATTTGCTCATTGAATCCTCACTACAATGGTACTGGATATCTTTCCTTGGCCCTTCCAGGTTGGGTTACGTCAAAAGAGAGGAACAGCAGGCAACTGGAAGGAGGGAGAGAGATCTGGTCTATTTGTCCTGGCTCCCTCTCTGTGGGTTTCCTGTGGGCTGACTGTCTCCCTGAACTAAAGGCCACAGCTTGTGTCAGGCAGCCCTTTCCAAACACCCCTGTGGCCAGGATCTGATTACTGCTCTCTCCCCTTATCCCTTTATAGTGACGCCTTCTTGCTGTCACCAGCCTGAGAGTCGTGCACGATTGCTTGTGGTTTCTCACCATCTTGCCCACACCTTTTAAAACACTTCCTTTATGATACTGCCTTCAAATGATCCGATTAGAGTTTGCTGTTTCCTACTGGAACCCTGGCTGATACAACAACTTATGAGATTGGGGAGACAGACACAGAGAACTTAAATAATTTGCCCAAGGTCACACAAGGGAGGAAATAATACTTGTAGGATATGTCACAACAATTCCTTTATTTATTTATTTTAAAATAACCTTTATTACAAAAGGCACACAAAACATACAATACAAACAAGTAAAATGAACAGAGAAAATACTCATATTTCCACCCATCTATTTCATCTATTATTTATTTAATAAGACTCCCACATTTTTATCTCCAGCCAAACTCCTGCCTTTGAGTCTCAGACTTCATGTTCAATTGCTTACTCTACAAACTTCATGTTGAAACTCAACATGTCCAAAAACACACTCATGGTCTTCCAAATCCCAGCCATAACAAGTCCTGTCAATTTTACATGTAAAAGTCTCCAATCTGTCCATCTCTCTCCAGCTCCACTGCTGCCACTCACCTTAGTCAGACAACGTCACCTCTTTCTTTGAAGAATTCCAAACTTTGGTCTCCCTGTATGTATCTACTCTTGTCCTCTTCAACCCATTATTCACATGGCAGGCAGACAGACCTTTTCAAAATGCAATCTAGTCATATTGCCCCTTGCTTAAAATCTTGCACTGGCTTCCATTGCTTTAGAATACAGATCAAGGATCTGACTTTGGCCCAGCCAACCTCAGCAACTTTGTCTCCTGTGCTTCTCCCCTGCTATAGGTACACTGGCTGGCTTTCAGCTACTTCAATGAACCATTGTTTTTTTCTACCACAGAGCCTTTGCCCACATCATTCCCTCTGTATGGGACATTTGTACACTCCCCCTCCCAAAGTTAACCTCCAGAGTGGTCAGGACACCCTAACACTTTATCACTATGGACCTTTCCAACATAACATTTATCAGAATTTGGATTGACACATCAAGCGTATGGCTGTCTATCTCCTCTACCAGCTGCTCTAGCAGACGGTATTTTGATGAAGGTCTCCAACTGTCTTGTGTCACCTGTGCATCCCCAGTACCTTGCCCTGTGCCTACCACATAGTATGAAATCAAATATTTGAATGAAAGAAATGAAAGCAACAGAAACAAGGAGAAAGTTGGACAGAATCATATTAGAAAGGGCTGAACTCTTTATATTTATTATTTCCTCTTTCTTTGCTTCAAATCTAACAAGACAAAAATGATACCAATTTAGTCCTAAGTCTCAACTCCTTTTCTAGAAAGTAAAAGCTATTAAAACTGGATAAAAGACTAAATTTCTATTTCCTTAGAGTTTCTTCAACAAGATATTGTTTGATACAGAATGGGGGGGGGCAGGAGAAATGATTATAGGTGGGAATGGACACTAGTTAACTTCCAGAGTTCTCATCATTTACTCTAAATTCATGTCATAATTACATCTATTTTTGAGGGTTCTAGTGATGATAAATTCAGCTCTAGGAGGATAAGTGGAAATTTAAGGAAAGAATAAAACTAGCAAGACAAGAGGCTGGTTGCACAGCAAAAATCTATGCATTAAATATCCGTTTCAGTAGGACGGGGAAACATGTTTTCTTGTTTAATTTGTTTCTGCACCTTAACCATCCCTTGACCTTCGCTTTTAAACTGCAGGTCCCACTTAATCTGTAATGGCTGAGTTCTTAATTTTCTCGCCTACTTGCTTCAATTTTGGCTAAGCACCTCAGCTTGAAAAACTCCACAGAAAACCACTAATTGCCAAACCTCCCCCAAATAAGTTTCCACTTCACCCCGCCCCCTGCGCGGCTGCGCAGACCTCACCCGGTCCCCCCGTGACGTCACAAAGAGGCCAGACCAAGTGGGGCGGCGACCCTGCAACCCTGCCATCCAGGCCCCCTTCTTTCATGAACCCGCTTCCCTTAGCCCACCCCAGCCCAGTCCCCTTTTAGTTAAAGCGTTGGAATAAAGCACCAGGTTGAAACCCCACTGCAGCCACGCCCACACTCCCGCCTGGGAACCGCCCCCCTTCCCCTCAGTGGCATAGCCCGGCCAGTCCCGGCGGGAGAGCTCCCCTGGAGCGCGCTTTGGGAGGGCGGCGGAGGCGGAGCCAGGCCGCCTCCGCTCCTCATCTCCCCGCCCCGGAGCGGGCCAGGCCCCCGGGGTGGGCCTCTGGAGTGCGGTTACGGACAGTGGGGCCGAGGCGAGCGCCCGTAGGGGAGGGGCGGAGGCGAGCGGAGCGTCCGGCCCCCGGCGCGAGTCAGACAGATGAGCGCACAAAGTCCGGATGCCTCCCGCGGCCGCGGCGGCAACGGCAGGAAAGGGCGCGAGGCACAGTGCGCGCCCGGTGCCAGGGGCACCGCTGCCCAGATCCAGGACCCGGCCTCCCCCTTGGGCTCCGCCTCGTCCTCCACGTCCCGGTGGAGCGTCCATTCTGAGTGGCGGACCATCTCCCGTCTGTTTTCCAGCAACCTGTCGATCGCGCCCACATCAGATGCGGCATACTCCGGGAGCTCCAGCACGCCCTCCCAAACCGGCCCCGGTCCTAGCCCGAGGACTCACACGGACTCCCAGATTGGTCTCTACGGCTCTGGAGCCCACGGCCTGAGCGACTGGATCCTCATGTCTGCCGCCCGCACGAGCACCCCCGAGGGGGCCGCCCCAGCCTCTAACCCGGACGCCCGCAACCCCCGGGTATCAGTACGAGGATCTGTCCCGCCCTCAGGCTCCCCCAGATTGTTAGTACTTGAATCCGCCCCACCCTCATTGCCCAGCTCCCCCCAGCTATCAGGACTCTCTACACCCCCAGGACCTCCTACACCCAATAACTCGCCCCGAGTGTCATTACAGGAGTCTATCCAGTTCTCAATACCCCGCTCCACCGAGGTATCTGTAGAAGGAGCTTTCCCATTCTCGGGCGCCCCAGCATCGGTACGAGGATCCGTCCCGCCCGCAATGCCACGCTCTCCCTGGAGTTTAGAACAAGCATCTTTCCCATTCTTTGGCTCCTCCCGAGTGTCAGTGCTAGGGTCCCTCCCACCCTCAGCGCTAAGCTCCCCCTGGAGTTCGGTACAAGGATCTTTCCCATTCTTGGGCTCCTCCGAATCATCGGTACTAGAGTCCGGCCCGCCCTCAGTGCTAAGCTCCCCCTGGAGTTCAGAACAATCATCTTTCCCGTTCTCGGGCTCCTCCCAACCGTCGGTACTAGAGTCCACCCCGTTGTTAGCGCTCAGCTCCTCCCTGGATTCGGTACTAGGACCTCCTACACCCAATAACTCCCCGCGGGTGTCATTACAAGAGTCTGCTCCGCCCTCACTGACCCGCTCCTCCTGGGTATCGGTGGAAGAATTGGCTCCGCCCCCGTTCTCCCCCCGAGAGTCGCTAGAAGGGCCCGCCCCGCCATTGGCGGGCCCCACTCCTATACCCACGCCTGGGGAGAGTCTCAGCCCGATCATGGCGAGTCAGGAGAAGGCGAGTATGGCAGGCCACATGTTCGACGTAGTCGTGATAGGAGGCGGCATCTCAGGTTAGTGTGGACCGCTGTGGTAACCTAAGGGGACCTGGCTGGCTCTGGGGTGGGGGACTTGCAGTAGCGCCGTGGCGTTTAGGGGGTCTCTCTTGTGGGTGCCAGAGTACAAGAGTGGCCGGCTGGATCCTGCAAGGTGGGAGTGGGGGTTGGGCCAGTTTTACTGGTGGTGTGAACGGAGAGGAGGCAGGGAGGCAGGAACAATAATTTTACTACTGCCACTATTAAATACTGACATTTAATTAGCTGTTGCTGTGCAGTCATATTTAGGACTTTACGTGGATTTTCTCAATCCTCAGCAATCCTGTGAGGTGGGTATTATATTCGCCCCTATTTTACAAAACTAAGAAACTGAGGTCGGGAGAGTTTCAGTAACTCTCCGAGGTCCAATCCCCTAGCCGAGAAGTGGCTGACAGGATTTTCTCCCATTTAAGACTCTTGTCTTCTAATTCCTGAGGTGACTGCTTTGCCTCACTGATTTCATGTCCTTTGCCCTAAACAGAACATCGGTATACCGATTTCTGTAGTATTACGGTAGTAATAGTGTTATTTCAGTTTATTTCAGTCCTGCTGTTCTCTAAGCACTTTTCCTTAGAAAATTTAGTAAGTGAAGAAGAATCGTTTAGGAAAAGGTTTTTTTTTTTTAAAAAAAAAAAAAAAGAAAGAAAAAAGCGAGCGAGGTGGGCTCTTAGTTTTAACCTACTCCCCCTGGTTTTTTTTAGAACTTGCAGGAAGGTGTAGGGCATTTTTTGCCCCTAAGGGAATCCCTTTGTGAAGCAAGGGCTGACAGCAGAGCGGGGAATGCCCTGTTGTGTCCTTTCATAAGAGCTCCCATCTCCTGAATCTTGTCCTGTGATGAGCCAGCTGGCCAGCCTGGGTTCCCCTAGTCCTGGCTTGGGTTTGTAGCTGACCAGTTGAGCGGTGCATGAGGCTTTTCAGTATCTTCCTGGAAACCTCATCATGATTGATATATTAAAGTCACTTATTGTTGTCATAATTGATAAAATGTTTCAAATTTAGGAAATGTGTTTCAGTCCTGGCTAGAATCCCACAATAATCTGTCTACCGCCCAGGAGGGTGTTAATAATTTCTGAAATATACCTGCAGGATCTGATTTAGAAAGAGGGGGAAAGAATGTGGGAGGGAGTAAGTAAGGTGGCCCCATACTAGCCATTTTTATGTATGATACTTTTAAGGAGACTCTGAACATGCTTACAAATTAATTTTGAGTGGAGATAGCTTTTGACTTAGCCCCTTGAGGATAAAGTCTTAATCACCAGGGAAGAGATTGACATGAGCTGTTTCTTTGACAACTCCAGCCAGTGCCAGCAAAAACGTGCATGTATGTCGGAGCATCAGAGGAAAGCAGAGTAAGAAAAACAAGTATTTCCCTTCATTCATTCACTTATTTATTCATTCCACAAAAACACTTGTTGAGTGCTTGCAATGAAGTGGACTGGTGTTTCCAAAAACCTAGTCCTTCTGTGCAAGCCTTCTAGAAGCAATATGATTGTTAGTCACTGGAAAATAAATATGATGATAATGTGTTGTGTAAATTGATTAGGAGTTCTGTCTCTTCTGCCATCTCTATGCCATCCATATTTCACAATTCAGGACTCTTTTTGGATTTTATTCTTGTCTTTTTCTTGTTCTGTGCTCCATATTCCTTAAGGAGCATTTTTATCTTTTATTTTTCCTCTTCTGGATTATCTGCCCTTTCTCCCTTTCCACACTCTCCCTCAGTAGTTGGTCATGAGCAGAGGTGGATTTACCATGTAGCTGATGACCCTTATGCTTTATGGCCTTGCCACTGCTGGTCCCCTCTGGTTCTCACTCCAAATAATTAACCAGTTTCATACTGAATCTTGTATTCCTAATTTTGCATTCTTTTTCCTACAGGAGGGCACCCGAATTATATAAGGTTCAGACCCCTCAGAACCTGGATCTGTCCATGGTCACTATTAATTATTAATTTGTTCATTTCCATTTGGAAGAAGTAGAGTGCATCTCTTGCACAGTAGTTCACACTCCTATTCCAGAAGCCAGCTTCCAGACCATCAATGACAGTTGAAAAGGCACTGGGCTTCCCCTAATACCATCTCTATCAGTCAGATTTGAGGGATTTTAACATCAAAACTGACCAGAAACATTGCTTTCTGGCTGTGGTGCCTTCCCAGATGGTTTACAACTAAAATAAAAGTAGATGCAAATGTGGCTCAGGGTAAAGCCTGCACACAGACTGGGTGTTTCATGAGCTGGTGAGAGGCATTACTTCCCAAGGGTTGTTAAGAACTCAGAAACATATCATCTTTGTGTGTGGTTAACAGTATCCCATGAGTTACTTAATAGTCCTTATATCAGTTTTAAATGCTTTTGGATATGTCTTATAACTTTTCTCAGGACTTGCACATTTTATTTTATTTTATTATTTATTTTGTGTGTGTGTGTGAGGAAGATTTGCCGTGAGCTAACATCCATTGCCAATCCTCCTCTTTTTTTGCTTGAGGAAGATTAGCCCTGAGCTAACATCTGTGCCAGTCTTCCTCTACTTTGTATGTGGGATGCCTCCACAGCATGGCTGATGAGTAGAGTAGGTCTGCACCTGGGATCCAAACCTGCGAACCCAGGCTGCTGAAGTGGCGTGCATGGAACTTTAACCACTTGGCCACGGGGCCAGCCCCAGGACTTGCACATTTTAATATGTTACCCACACACTTATAATATATGGCATATATATATATAGAGAGAGAGAGAGATCTCTCTCTCTATATATATATGTATATGCAGTGTTATTCCTATTATATAACAAAATAGCTCCCACAAGAGTACAAATTCTAAATGACAGTCCTCAAAATCGATCCATATTAACAGAATTATCTTTCGTTTTTTATAAGTATCTTTGCCCAAAGAATAGCAGCATCTTAAAATATCTCCCTTTGTCATTACAAAACACAAAACACAGCATTCTTACAGCCACAAAATCACTTTTTCTGCCCACTCACTGATTAAATAATTTTATATACTATGTTAGTAGTTAGAGGGGAAAACACTTGCTCATTTATAAGTAGTATCTTTCACGTGCTCTGGCCTCTATCCATCTTCCGCCATCTATCACCAAGTCCTTTTTGAAACTCCTTTCATGTTTTCTGTGACACTATTGGATCCTGAATTTTTAGCGCATACTAATGGCTTCTTTTCTATCCCTTTCATTGTGCCCATATTCTTGTGAACTTCTAGTCTTGAAATGGCCTCGAGGTTCAGCTGTTCATCACTTTTGGGCTCTTATGTACTCTCTTCTTTCTCATTCTAGGCCTTCAAGTTTCCCTTATCTATAGGGAGCTCTTAAGTTTCTGGTTTGAATCCTTATCTTTTTCTGAACTACTGTCCCATAGCTTTTCTGCTCCTGGGTATTTCACACTTGAATGTCTTGTTCTTACTTTGTATTCAGCATGTCCAATAAGCCTCCTTGCCCTCCAACCCAGTTTCTCTTCCTCACTTCCTTGACTCTGTTCTTGGCACCACCATCCTTTCCATCATTTTTGACACATTCTTTTCTTTTATTTTCTACACTCAGTCAACAGATCTTTCTAACTCCTCTTTTGAGCTATTCCTTTTCCCTATTTCTGGTGACTCTCCTGTCCCCAGGACAGACCCTTGACCCCTTCAGCTCACGAGGTGATGACCATCTTCCCGGTGTCCACCGTTTCTTTTGGGCTCTCCCTTCATGTCCATCCTGCAGTGTTCTCCCAGACATGAAGATAGGATTTTTTTAAAAAGACACTTCTTTCATCACCTTGCTCTTCTGCTTAGGACCTTCAGTGGTTCTATCACCAGCCTTTCAAGCTCCCCTCCACACCCCCAATTATCTGGTCCTACTTTGGTGGCATTTTCCACTAATCCCAACATGGACCTGAGCTTCAGTCACACTGCTCTCTTGTCCTCAGTGCTCCGCCATGTTTATTTTGTCCCTCCATTCCTTCCCTGTTTTTGTTTTTCTTTATATGGAAATGCTTCTCTCTGACCATTCACATCCTATCCATTCTTCAATACCTGATTAAACATTTTTCTCCTTGATCACTCTGACTCCCCTTAACTTTTCTCTCTTCTTGTAGAGCTTATAATCTATAGCTAGCAATTCACACATTTTCTGTCTTTATTTCTTGATTTTATTTTAAGTGTAGCAGTTCAGTCGCTGACTTTAGATACTAGTTCTTATTCGTGAGATGACACAGATATGACAAATGACAGAAACCCAGTGGTGTAAGATTTTAAAATCTGCCTTAACTGAGAATTTCTAAATTGGCTGTCTTTAGGGAGAGAAAAAAAGGAAAAGAGGAAAAAAGCCCACCTCCAAAAGACAATGCATGCTTCAGAGTCTTTGGGCCAAAGGGATTTTTAAAAGACAGTCTAGTCCAATCACCTAAGATTTTAATCCTCTTGGCAGCATCCCCTTTGTGTTCAAAGCTACAGCCAGAGAATCACTTCTAGGGAAAAGGAATGCTCTGCCCCTCAAAGCAACTCATTAGGAGCAGAGGTGGCTCTGGTGCCTGGACTCGTTCAAGCATTTTGAGAGCCTCTGCCATATGCTGAGTAGCGGCTAGATCAAGGGAAAGAGGTATATAAAGCTGAGTAAGTAGTGTCCCTGCCCATAGGGCACCCAATCCTCTTGCAAGAAGTAATCAAGTGAGAAAATAATTGACATTCATGCAGTGAGAGAAATACTAATGTTATGAATATGAACAAAGTGCTGGGACCCTGAGAGATAGGTAGGATTTTTAACAGGTACAGGTAAGAGGATGGAAAAATGAAGGAGCACAGATACGGAGGCGTGAGGCTGTGAGCCATACAGGAGCAGTGTTTAATTGAAGCCCATGGCAAGAGTTCCAGGGAAGGAAAATAGTTGCCTACTGTGCCTCTGGGGATGTGATCCTGGTAGCTATCGAGATAACCCCAATGTGCCACATCTGCCCAACAGTTAGCAAGTGCACAGTGAAAACACT